AAAAAAAAAACTGATCCTTGCCCTTTATTTAAAAACAAGACACTTGAGAACAAAATGTGTGGAAATATAATAAAGGATATATACCAAATGCCTATAATGTGTTCAGTTATTACCTTTAAATGAGATCCAAGGCCAAATCCATCCTCAATTACACTTCTACTCAATGCTGTGGGATGAATGAAAAGGAGCTCAAGGTCATGAAATTTAGCCATTGGACCCAGTCCAGCTCTTTATATCCTTTGTTACAGTTTTGTGCTCCTGTTGTCCTTTGGGCAGGGGTCTCTTAAATACCATCATTTGAATTCATGGCTTAGCTGATAGCAGCAGTGGGGATACACTAAGCTATCAGACTGTATTACGGTTTGGATACCTTTGAATATGGTTTGTCTCCACCCAAGCTCATACTGAAACGAGATTCTCTTGTAGTAGTTTTGGGAGATGGAGCCTTTAAGAGGTAGTTAGTTCATGGGACTCCATCCTCCTGAGTGAATTAATGAACTCTCATGGGAGCTCTCACTATTATGAGACCGAATTAGTAACCTCGAGGGAAACTGATTTTTTTTTGGTACTAGGTTTGAACTCAAGGCCTCATGCTTGCTAGGCAGGCCTCTACCACTTGAACCATTCTGCCAGCCCTTTTTTGTGTTGGGTATTTTTCAAGATAGGGTCTTAAGGACTATTTGCCCAGGCTGGCTTCCAACCAAGATCCTCCTGATCTCTGCCTCCTGAATAGCAAGGATTACAGGTGTGGGCCAATGGCACCCAGCTTGAGGGAAACCTTTATAAAGTGAGCCCGGGGCCTCCCCTCACTCTCACACATGTATGCACTCTTTCACTTTTCCTTCTGCTCTTTCACCATGAGTTGAAAGAGCATGTGGCTCTCATCAGATATGGCTGCCTGAGTTTATACTGTCCAGTCTCAGGAATCAAGAGCCAAGATAGACTTTTTTCTTTATAAACTACCTAGTCTCCAGGTATCTGTTAAAGCAAGAGCAAATGGATTGAGACAGCCTGTTTTAGGAGGTGTGGGTTTTGCTTTTTCTCTTCTAATATAAAAGAGAAATTAGATCAGTTTAAACTACAAGTTTACTGCAATTACAGGTTGATGTCTCTGACACAAGACAGTGCGAATCACAGACCTGGAGTCTTGGTCTGGATAAAAGAAATTCCATGTGGCATTGTGCCTCACATCTATTTCCTCACACTCTTAAACTCAGAAGATTCTTTTTCATCCCACTGTCAGTATTTGATAATTCTAGTTGGCAGGAAATAAGATATACAATATGCGAATAACAGCTTAATCTTTAGTATCTATAATAGCTTGATCTTAAGTATGTGTGTTGTGCCTTACACTCTACAGAGAATGCAAATATTATTACATCTGAAAAGATTAAATTTACAACAGAAGATTCTAGATTTATCACTATCAACCAAGAAAGAGAAGCATTTTACTCAAGAAAAAAATACACTAAAATTCTTTTAAAAGAATTAACAAAGATAAAGGTAGAAATAAATTAACCAGAAATAGATGAACAGTAGAACTTATAAACTAACTGGTTTATTATATTCATGGAATGTGGACAGGCATACTCTTTTTTGTGGACAGAAAGATTAAATATTGTAATCCTGTCAATACAGGTTTGCACACATGCACAAATGTCTACATAAATTAAGAAGTAGCCTGAAAGTAAGTAAGTAAAATGCTGGCAGTTTTTTCTTCAAATGGTGACATTAAAGGCAATCTATTTTTTTCTGTACTTTTCTGTTTTTTCTAAATCTTCTGTAATGAATACACAATTTTACAATTAGAAAAAATAAACTATTCTCAAGGTGCCAAATTATTTCTTATTAACACCTATATTTAATGTTATGACAACCAAAATACCAAACAGATAGACGAGGAACTAAGGAAGACTTCAAGAAGGTCCACCTGGGAGATGAAACAATTCGCAAAAAGGTAATAAGTGATCTTTAAGCAAAAACAGAGGTACCTTATTATATGAGGTAACTTAATGTGAAGCTTCATTTATGAGTGCTTGGATAGGAATCACTAACGAAATCGTTTCTACACCTTCAATCAAATACCTGTGAATTCAGAGCACAGACAATAACTCCTAACATAACCTACCACAAAGACCTTCAGACAGCTGAATGCAGAACAAGGATGCAACTGACTGGTGCTAAGACAGATAAAGCAATAGAGAAAAATCTCCCTGGGAGCTCATGGCATAAATTGCATTTTGAAACACTAGCACCCCTGAAATAAGGAGCGAAGGATGTTTTTACTGTCTCTCCAGCAGACCCCTAAATCACAGACCCAGACCTTGGAGCAGACAGAAACAGGAAGCATGTCTCTTCCCATCACAGCTGTGTGAGGCAGACAGAATACCACATAATCACTACCAATCTTGTATCACATAACAAAATTCCAGACCAATCAATGGGTTATTTAAAAAACAATGAAATAAGTGGTATTTACTTGATTTTGAAGTCTAAGCTAAAAAGGTTAAAAAAAATTAAAGGAAATGATTAACAGATTTGAATGACAAAATTTAATACTAAGAATTGGCAAGAACTCAGGGAAACAAGCACTCTCATGAACTGCTGGTGGGAACAACTTGGCATAATATTTCTGGAGGGCAATCTGGCTGGATGTGTTGAAAGTCTTTAAAATGTTTATACTCTGTGACTCACTAAGTCAACGTCTAGGAATTTTTCCTAAAGAAATAATCAGAGATATATAAAAATGTATTTACAATATTGAAAGACCAGAAAAAACACAAATGTTCAGTAATATGTGTATGTTGAACAACAGGGAATTCAAGAATATAAAAGTTACATAATAAAATACTATCTGCCCTTTAAAATAATGTTTAAAGGAGTATGTGATGATGAGAATATGCTCAGAAAATGTTAAATGCAAGCAAAAAATTAATAACATGTATAGGATGGTCTAAATTTTATCTTTTTTGTGGGTATGTGTGTAGTTCTGGGGATGAAACCCAGGGCCTCATGCAAGTGCTCTACCACTCAGCCACACCCCAGCCCTATGAGATTCTTTATTACTACATCATACCATGATATAATCTATTACATTCCCACTATACTTTGAACTACCTGTAATCAGAAATTTGGATGTAATCAGAAATGGGGGTGTTTCACCTTTGATTCCCCAGTGCTAATCTGTCTAGAATCTAACAGGTCTTCAGACTAGAATATTGGATTGATGAATGAAATTGACTCAACAAATGATTCTCTTTGCTCTGAGAACTTAAAGGTCAAGGAGAGAAATGCTAACAAGGATGAGCAAATACTGGTAAAGAGATCTCTCTTCTTACCTTGGCTAGCAGGCCTGAAACATGTTTAATTTCACCATTTGCCTTTAACAATTCTTGTCTAAGCTCGGTGCATGACAATTCCAGTTGATCTTTCTCAGCTTGAGCTACTTTCAACATTTCCTGAACTTCGCAGTTGTCTGCTGTCTGCTCCATGGCACTACTGGTCTCCATGGCCTTTTGCTTATCACCCTCCAAATGAGCCTTCAAGGACCCATTCTCCATCTTCAAACCTTCCAAACTAACTCTACATTCTTCCAAAGTTTTGGCCATCACACTATTATTACACCGTTCTAGTTCGAGAAACCCATTCAGTTTTTCATTTTCTTCCTTCAGGTGCTTAATCATATCTAATGCTCCTTGGTTCTCTTCCTCAACCTTCCGTAAGCTGCAAGTCAACTGCTGCTGAATGTTGAGCAGTTTTTCTCTTTCAAAGCGGCTCTTCTCAAGAATATCTGTGCATTTCTGCTCCAGCTCAAAGATTTTTTCTCCTTGGGTGCTGGGCTCTTCATTCTTTACTCGCTCTTGTAAAAGATTGATCAGCTTCTCATTTTCTTGACTTAGTTGCTCTGCCCTCTCTCGATGCTGGTGGAAGGACGTCTCTAAAATTGCCTTCTCATCCACGAGCTTCTCATTCTCAGCTGTCAGTTCCTGCACCATTTGCTGCTGGTCAGATAATTCTTGCAGAGTAGCCTGCAGCTCCTCTGCAGTGCTGTGCTGATTCTCTTCCATCTTTTGTATCTTCTCAGTAAGAGAGGCCAGGGACAGCTCACTCGCATTGTTTGGGGAACTACCAGTGGTAGAACATTTGGAGCTCTTAAAAGGGTTGCTAGTAGAGGACAGGGGCCGAGATGGAGTGTCTGCGGTGATGTGTTCAAAATCAGAGGCGTCCGGTGACAAGGAGGCTTTGGTAACATCACTGCTTGAAGACCCTGATGCCCGTAACACACTTCCATGTGTGTTTCTTTTGTACTCATCAATTTCACTTGACAGCTCATTTCCAGTTGGGCTTCCGAAGCTTGACTCTTGAGTTATGGATGTTGGGCAGCTGCTGTCACCAGTGTGACTTGCTGCCCCTTCTGAATTTGGAGAATGCTCAAGGTAAGTCAGTTTCTCCTTCAAAGCCCGGTTTTCTTCCTCTAGGTCAGCAAGCTCTTTTTGAAAGGTCTTGTTCTTCTCCTCAAGGGCTCTTATCAAGGGTTCTGCATCTCCTGGTGGAGCTGATGTTCCATTTGCACTTGGTTCTGAAGCATCAGTCCCCTCAGTGCTCAGAGCCCTTCTCTCTTTGCACTTCTTTAGTTCACTTCGAAGCCGGTTGATCTCACTATCTTTGGCTTTGGCTTCAGCCAGAAGTTCCCGAACTTGGGACTCAAGCACAGCCTTCTCTCCACCTTCATGTTCTTGCTTGGGTTTTGCAGAAGTGGTCCTCAGGTGCTTAGTAGGGGTGGGGGTGGAAGAGGAGGTTGGACTAGACCCCGATTTCTTCGGGTTGGAGGAACCACGTGGCACAGATCTCTCTCTTGAGGCAGATACTGAAAGTTCCCGTGGAGCTGGAATGCCTGTCCGTTTGGTTGTTGGAACAGCCCCTAAACACAGAAGAAGAAACAAATGAAAAAAAAAAAAGCAATCACTTGCATAATGAAACCCAAATGACTTCAAAACATATGGATGGTGTGGCTGACACTTCATCCATTTCCTCCTTTTTAAGACAGTCACCCAGTTCCAACTGGGGTTTCTGTACCTCCTTCCACAGCCCTGTATGTTGGGGGAAGCTGACTCCTAGCCTGAGCTACTCAAAACCAATTACAGTTGCTGTGCAAGGCAGGGGCACAAACTGATCTTGATTAAGATCAATGGACACAAGGGAAGGTTTTCAGAACAGGTTGCAAAACATCACTGGGCATCAGTGAGAAAGCACATGGGTGTGGAATGGGTAGCAACCACCTGCCCTCATAAGAGGAAGGTGGGCTTGCAGATGGCAGGAAAGAAGAAGAAAACCAAATTCTAAATGGCATCACTGAGTTGTAAAATCACATCAACCCCGGATGTTGGCCTACTGCTGGTTCTCTAGTGTGAGATAGGGTCATACTAGCCATACATATGCTTCATAAATCATCCTGAATGGAGTTTTCTGTAAATTATAATTTAACACATCTGTATTGATAATGTTGGCAACTAAAAAACAGCCTTTTGACAAAATACAAGTTTATCATACATTTTTCAATAAAACTTGTAGAACATCAGTAACATATTGTGACTGAGCAAATTTTGATTGAGAAATCAGAAGAGGGGCTGTGGATGTAGCTCAGTGATAGAATGCTTGCCTAGCATGTGGAAGGCTCTGGGCTCAATCCTCAGTACTACAATGAAAACAAAAAAAGAAAAGAAGACAACACTACAAAAGAAAGATTGATCTGAACACAATGATCACTTTTCAGGGGAGAGGGGAGAGCCAGTACTGGGGTTTGAACTCAGGGACTCTTGCTTGCTAGGTAGGCACTCTACCACTTCAGCCCTCTTTTATGTTGGGTATTTTTGAGATAGGGTCTCATGAACTATTTGCCTAGGCTGACACAGAATCTTGATCCTCCTGATGTCTGCCTCCTGAGTAGCTAGGATAACAGATGTGAGCCACTGGCACTGGGCAATAATGTATCACTTTTCACATAAGTGGAAATGTTCACTTGTAGTCACAGAAAAAAATGGGATAAAGATGTATTATGCATGTATATGTACCAGTTGTAAATATTAATGGGATTTATACAATAGGGAAATGGCACAGAACTTAGATGTAAGGAATTATTTTTTATTTTCATCTATATCACAGTCAATATAAAAAAAAATCTAGGAGTGGAAGCCCAGACATCAATCTCCTTTATGCTCTGATATTGAAGCCCACTCCAGAGGTTACAGGGAAATGAAAATTCTGGACCTATTTAACACAAAGACCACTAAATGAGTCAAAGCTGACTGACTGCTGAAATGTGTGTGGGGGAGGGTGCAGGATCCCAGAAGTAGTCACCAATCTCTAGATGTCTATAATGTAGGAAGGGGTTATAGGAGAATGTACCCTCAGATGGGAAACAAGTCTGGTGCTAAAACAGGCCCAGAGCCCAGTCTGACCCAGCTACTCTAAACCTACCACCAAGATAGCAAGGAGACTGGAGCAGCAGCTAATCTAAACACCTGCCTCTGAGGTGATGAGGGCAGTGGATAACATCTACTGCAGAGTGCTTACTGCAGACTCCTTTGGAAACTATGACATGATGAAGGCCAAGATGTCATATTAACATACAGAAGCTGTGGTTTTTAAATTAACTTTTTCAAATTAAGCTCCAGGGGTGCTGAGTACTGTAACAGATTTTTACAATGCTTACACATTTAGATGCCTCACTTGCATCATACTAAGTTACTCAATGAAGAAAGGATTTAATTAGTCTTACAAAATGAAGATTAAAATCACTAAGCAATAAAATGTTTTCGTAACACTAGTTCTCTAGAATGTAGTCATCTTGATGAGGGCCACGATAAAAACTGGAAGATAACGGAAGTTCCACCATAACTTGCCTCAAATACCACTAAATTAAGGCTCCCCTCCCTTCATTCCTTCCTTCTTGCCCTCCTCCCTCCCTCCCTTTCTCCCTCTCCTCCTTTCATCATTTGTTGGTTTTGAAGATGGGAAGAACCCAAATAGAACAGCACATCAACTCTGTCTACAGTTTAACTCCCTTTTACTGCCAAATTTTGGTATGGTCTCCTTAGAATTGTTACCTATGCTTTATCTAAACTACTTAGAATCTATTTAGACAGCAAACCAGTTTATTTATGAAATACATCTAGTTGTGTATGAAATACACAATGCAGTTGTATTTTTATTACATATGCTCTTTTTTTAAAACTACATCTCTTTGTTTTCTAAGGCTCTTCCTATCTCTGTATTCATCATTTTCAGCAACTACAAGGAGCAGAGGTTATGTTTAGAGAGCTGCTGAAATTCATTGTCAAACCAAACTGATGCTGATGCTTGGCTACTCTCACCCTGTGAGTACCTGCATGTCCAATGAGACACACCTCATTGGGGCACTCAAAGGAACAAGTCAAGTAGCAGTGGTCCTGAGCTCCTGAAGTAGCCAACTAGAAGGTGCCTACCCCACAGAGTCTCCTTCAAGTACAGACAATCCGTGACTCAGGATGACACAAAAGCATTATCCATACAATTATTCATAAAAACATTCTATTTCCCTTTCTTAGCACAGGATTCACTAAATTAGCAACATTTAAATAACACTTTTGATATAAGTGGAAATGTAATCCCAGCTCTCAGGTGGCTGAGGCAGGAAGAGCAAGAGTTTGAGGTCACCTAAGCAACACAGTGAGACTCTGTGTCAAAAAAAAAAAAGTTTAAATTAAAAACAGGAGGGGAAAATACTGTCACAACAATATCCAAGAGATAAGGGGGTGAAAAAATATATCTTCTCAGAGAACAAAAAGTAAATTTAAAATAGCCATAGCAGGATTGGGGGTGTAGCTCACCTAGCATGTGCCAGATCCTGGGTTTCATACCCAGCACTGGAAAAGAAAAGAAAAAAGAAAAATGGGAAGAAATGGAAAGGGAGAGGAGGGGAGGGAAGGGAAAAGGAGATGAGAATGAAAATTCACATCCACAAAACTGCTGCCTCGCTTCCTCACCACAAAAGAAGGCACCCTTTAGTTTCTAAGAACCTAAACTACCTGGATTTTTTGTTTAACCATCACTCTTCATAAATTCTTTTCTCAAAGACTTCCAATAATTTCTTAAATTTTCAAAGCAACCATCTGGACTTTTCAGTGGCCACTAAATTCTTTCCCCCTTTCCTTTTTTCCTGCCTGTCAGAGGTGCCCATCATTTCTCTGGTTCTGCAATTCTGGGCACTTCAAATCATATCTAAAACCTCCTTCCCCTTTCTTTCTCTCTCTTTTTTTTTTTTTTGGTGGGACTGGTGTTTGAACTTGGCAAAGGAGGTACTCTACCTCTTGAGCTACACCCCAGTTCATTGTGCTCTGGTTATTGTGGAGATGGGAGTCTCATGAACTATTTGCCTGGGCTGGCCTTGAACCTTGATCCTCCTGGTCTCCACATCCTAATTACCTAGAATTACAGGCGTGAGCCACTGGCATCTGGCTCCCCTTTCTTCTTGCAACCAACCAGCTGGCTGTTAACCTCATCAGCAGTTGTTTCTTTTTAATGTTCCCAGATTATTCCTTTCATTTTGGTCTGACTCTACTTCAGGTCCTCAGAATACACTACCTAAACTTCTGAAACTGCTTTTTCCCTGGTCTTCCTCATTCCAGCCTCTCCTATCCTGGGATCAACTGGATTAATATCACATAAGTATCTTGTTTATGCTTCTGTTGTAGGATCTGTGTTTTTACTCCAGGTTACATCAACGTCAGAACTTCTGCTTGTAGCTTCCAAGGCAATGTACAATCTTGTCCCAGTCAATGTATCCAACCCCATTCACCTTTCCTTTCCTTGGCCCTCACACACCCAGTTCACTGCAGTCAGCACCCTCAATACCCCCAACCGCCTGTGACTTGAAATTCTCTTTCCACTGGATGCTTCAGAATAGCATTTAAGCATGTGTCACTCTCTCCACCTGAAAATGAAAAAAGTCTAGAATCCTTATCTTCTTCCTGCTGCTAAATACCTGATTGATCTCTTACTTCTCATAGCAAAACCCTCATAGAAGTTACTGGTTGTCTTCATTTTTTCCCTTTTCACTTATACTTCCATCTACTCCTGTTACTTGACCAAAACTCATCTACTGAAGTCATTGGTGACATCAATGCAATGACACTTTCAACCCTCTCAGCAGAGTTAGCACAATTCCTTCTTTTTAGATTGATTTTTTAAACCGACAGAGAAAAACTGTATATATTTATGTGTACAACATGATGCTGTAATATATGTACACATTGAGAAATAGCTAAATAATTAATATATGCATTACTTCATACACTTTTTTATGATGAAACACTTAAAATCTCCTGCCTTAGCAAATTTTAGTATGTATAATACACTGTTATTACCTAGAGTCATCATGTTACCCAATGGAGCTCTGACTTTTTCTTCCTAACTGAAATTTTATATCCTTTGGCCAATACTTCCCTAGACCCTCCCCTCAAGCTCAGTCCTTGATAACCACTGTTCTACTCTCTATTTCTATGAGATTAGCTTTTTCAAATTCCACATTTAATTGAAATTATGCAGTATTTATCTTTAGTGCTGACTTATTTCACTTAGCAAAATGTCCTTCAGGTTGCAAGTGACAGACTGCCTTCTTTTTAAAGGCTGAAGAGTACTGTTTGTAATATGCATCACACTTGGTTTTTCCTCTCAACCACTGATGGACATTTAGGTTGCTTCCATTTATTGTGAATTGTGCTGCATTGAACATGGAAGTGCATACAGATCTTCAACACACTGATTTCATGTCTTTGGTATACATACCCACAAGTGGGATTGCTGGATCATGCGGTAGTTTTATACTGATTTTTTGACAGATTGATTGTGATACTGGGGACTGAACCTAGAGCCTGGTGCATGCTAGAAAAATGCTCTACATTTGAACTAAACCCATGGGCCTTTTGTTTTTGAGATAAGGCCATACTACCTTTTTGTCTGGGCTAGATTCAAACTCAAGATCCTCTTGTCTCCACCTCCCAGGGTAGAATCATCATGCCCAGCTATTTTTCTTTTTTGAGGAACTTCCATACTGTTCTCCATAGATTGCTTCCTTCTTTTTTTGAAACACTCCTTTGGTATCATGCTTTCCTAGCTATCCTCTTACCTCAGCAGCCACTGCCTATCTCCCTTCTTTGTAGTCTCCTCCTTCCTCCACATTTTACTTGCTAGAATATTTCAGACATGGTCCTTTTAAAATCTATCTTTCTCTCTCTCTTTTTTTGGGGGGTGGGCAATACTGGGGTTTGACCTCAGGGCCTCATGCTTGCCAAGCAGGCACCACTTGAACCACAGCACCCCTTTTTGTTTCAGTTATTTTTTGAATAGGTTCTCATGTCTATGCTTAGACCAGTCTGGACTGTGATCCTTCTATTTATACTTCTTGAGTAACTGGGATGACAGGTATGTGCCACAAAGCAAATAAGAGTAAAAATCATTTTCAACCTAGAACTCTAAACCCATCTGAATTATAGATCAATCACGGCATTAAAAATCCATTTTAAAGTGTGCAAAGACTCAGAAAAATAAACTGTCAATACTCTTTCTAACAAAGTTATTTGAAGGCATGCTCCAGCAAAACAAGGAACTAAACCAATGAGGAAGATGATAAGTGATCTAGGAAGTAGTTGTTCCATCACTGGAAAATATATCTGGAAAAAAAGTCTGTACTGGTTAAAGAGGACAAAGTGCCACTGAAGGAACATTTTTTTCAAAGAACAACTGATTGAAGAATATGAAAAAAATAATATAATAAAAATAGTGAAAAGACAAGAAATTTCATAAACATAAGGAATGGGTAACACAGGTGACAAAACTGTAACACTGTAATAAAACTACAGGGAAGAATATATATGTTGTCACCCTAACATCTATACTATAGAAATTGGCCTATACACAGAGCATGCAAGAATATTTACTAGAACATTTGAATATTATCATCCTTGGCAGAAAGGATAGTAGCAATAATATCTACACTTATGTTACAAAAGGAGAGCCAGATGCTATATATAAGACATAAGGATGAAATACATCATTAAAACCAAAGTGATAGCCAGGAAAAGAACTAAAAACAGTGATATTACATTGGGAGAAAGTGCCAGGTTAAGAGTTAACTCCTTGTGTGATAGCAGGAGTCAACAAATGTGTAAATTTGAAAAACTAAACAATAGCAATGTTAAGAAAACAAAAAGACAAGCCACAGACTGGGAGAAAATATTTGCAAATGACATATCAGATAAAGAACTGTTAAATAAAATATATAAAGAACTCTTAAAGTCAACAATGAGAAAACAAACAACCTGATTAAAAATAGGCAAAATATATGAATAGATGCCTCACCCAACCAAGATACACAGATGGAAGATGAGCATATGAAAAGCTGGTCAATATCACATGTCATTAGGGAACTGCAAATTAAAACAACTGTGATATTGTCAATTACAATGGCTAAAATCTCACATACTGACAATACCAAGAGCTGACAAGGATGTGGAACAGTAGGAATTCTCATTCATTGTTGGCAGGTAGATAAAATGATTGCCACTTTGGAAGAAAGTTTGGTGTTTTCTTACAAAACTAAGCATATTTATACAATCCAACAATCATGCTGTTGATTTAACCAAATAATGTTTTATCCACACACATACAAGAAAGTATATTTAGATGTTTCTAGTAGCTTTACTCATAACTGCCAAAACTTGGAAGCAATCAAAATGTCCTACAGTAGATGAATAGATAAACTGGTGCATTGGTTGTGTTAGTCAGTTGTCACTGTAACAAATACCTAAGATGATCAACTTATTAAGCCAGAAAATATTCATTTTGGCTCAAGTTTCAGTCTATGATTGTTTGGCCCATTGCTTTTGGCCTGTGGTAATATATCATGGAGGGAGCACACGGCAGAGCAAAACCATTTATCTTATGGCCAGGAAGCAAGAGAGAGAGGAAGAGAATAGGTCCCACAATCACCTTCGGGGTGCACCCCCAGTGACTTGAAGACCTTCTATTAAGCTCTACTTTTTAAAGTTTCCAATAATCTGGGGACCAAGCCTTTAACACATAGGCTGTTGGGGGACACTTATCCAAATCATTAGCACAAGCCACGAGAAGTCACAGAAGAACCTTATAGGTGCATATTACTAAGTGAAAGGAGCCATCTGAAAGGGGTTACACAAATGACATTCTGGAAAAGTAAAACCATGGTGACAGTAAAAAGATCAGTGGTTACCAGGGTTACCAGGGGTTAGGAGGGATGGAGGGATGAAGAGATAGAGTACCGAGGATTTTAGGGCAGTGAAAATACTCTGCATGATACTAGAATGGTGGGTGAATGTCATGTTAGATTTGTCCAAACTTATAGAATGTAAACTATGGACTCTGGGTGATAAAGATGTGTCAAAGTCAGTCTGGTAAGTGATGCTGATAATGGGGGAGGCTGTGTGAGTTTGGGGGCAAGGAGGAATAGACAAATGCTATTGTTTGCTCGATTTTGTTGTGCTTAAAATAGATCTAAGATATAAAGTGTGTATGTGTGTATTTTTTAAGGCAGTATAAGCATAATCAAGTAGCTACTTTGAGAAGAGGGACAAGAAATGAAAAAGGAGCCAGGTATTGTGGTTCATGTCTGCAATCCCAGCACTCGGGAGGCTGAGGCAGGAGGATTGTGTGTTTGAGGTCAGCCTAGGCTACATAGTGAGACTCTGCCTCAAGAAACACTCCTCCTCCTGCCCTCCCCACACCATCCCCCACAAAAAAAAAAAAAGAAACAAGAAAGGGTAGGGCAGATTGTTTTCACAAGCTCCTTGTACTAGTTCATATTTTTAACTTGTCCATCTACTACTCCAACAATAAAAATTAAGAAAAAGCAATGTGAATGTTTGTGAGTACAGTGTGGAAGCAGGAGGTCAGCATGACGTTGGTTTTATAGGCAGCACTGATCCTTTGGACTTAAAACAAATGAGATAAAAAGTTTGAGGCAATTCAGCAAGCAGGAGCTCTGCCATAAGGAACCAAGTCTGTTATCACACCTTGGAGCCCCACCTTGACTATGTGGAAAGGAGTTTTTTTTTTTTTTTTTTTGTGGATAGTCTTGGGGCAACCTCAACACTGTGCTTTCTAGAGAGTCACACAATCTCATATGAAAGTTAATGAAAACTCTCTTCGCAAATCAAACAGAGGAAGAAACACAGAAGGGTCCTACCTCATCCAAATGACCCAAATTACTTGCTCACTTTGCTTCCTGTGTTAAAAGCAAACAGTGGCATCAACATTTAGAGATGGTCTTTGTGAAGAGATAAATGTCTGCATTTCATCTCCTTAAAAAAAATTGCAAAATTAATTCACACTCTGCTAGTTCAGCAACTTGGGTTAGAAATTACGATACTTGTAAATCTACGTGCTCCTCTTCCCCACATATTCATGTTGCACCACAGGCACTAAGAACAGTGCTGCAGAACAGGGGTCCAACAAAGCTTATGAACAAAAGACCCCTAACACTCAGAAGAGGCTCAGGCCTGAAGCAGACACAGTGACTGCTCTGTGCTGGGTTCTGGGCAGGAGACTAGGGGACACAAAGCTGCAGTGTTTCCGAGGAGAGATAATGGTGGTCGGACCACTTCTCACAGGCGGCCCACACAGCCGGCTGCAGTTAGTCCTCTCCAGAAGCCAAATGCAAAATGGTCTGGAAGGGCAGCTACCAAAGTGCAAAAGTTTGAAAAGTGAAAGCAGGCGAGGACCAGAGGAACACCCCAGCATTCACTCTGCACACAGTGTCAGCCTCACTGCCTAACTTCAGAGCTTG